CAGTATTGAGCAATGGACGAGTATATTAAATGTCCATTGTTCAGCTCGGGGCCTGTAAACTATAATACTTAGGGAGGAAAGCATTTCTATATTCCTAATTATCCCGGATATATTTTTTTGGTTTACTTCATACTTGGCCAGAGTTGTGTATGCTCCTTGTTTCTCAGGGATAGTGATGGGACCTTTAAGTCGGGAACTTGGTGGCGCACATCTTGTCCCGTGTTCCCCTCCGTGTACTAAGCCGAGTGTCTAAGCTTGATCTTTTTTCAGATCAAGTATCCTACTTCAATCTCTTAAGTCGGGAATACTTTCCACTGATGCTAAATATTATAAAACATGTATCAACCCGTTTCTGCAGTTTTGGAGATGGTAATCTGACTGAACATGTCTGACGATAGCCCTGATTTTTTTAAAAATTAAAATAATAATTATTTTTCAAAAATCAATATTTCAAAATCATTGAAAAATATAATTTCAAACCTAGGACACAAAAATAAAGGTAGTCGTTCTTTCTTTGCTAAGTGTCAGGCACTAGAAGTGATAGAAATAAGGTTTTGGAGGAGACCTTAAAAACCAAGTTCCTGTGTCACGGTTGGCGTTGGCACGGTAAGAACCCTCAGTGCTCTATTACCCAGTGTGCTGAGTATAGGCCTAAATTTGAAGCCTGTGATTTTCTAAAAAATGAAACTGGTGTAAAAGTTGAAAACTCATGCTTTTTAAATAATTGAAATTCAATGCAGAAAAATCATGCAAATCCTACTGCGTGCTAATTATGACGTCATAAAACTCTCTTAAAAAGTTGCAGGGATGGAAAATATTGTGTTGCCCACAAAGATAAAATTACCAATCAAAAAATTAACGTGGGCGACGGCTTGGACACTGTTTTCTAAAGAAAAATACGTCATTATTTTTATTTTATGACATCAGCAGAATGGTAAAAAATCAATTATCACAGTCATATACATAATATGGTTTCAAAAACTTTTTGATGTCTTACATTTTTGCAATAAAGCTAAAACCATACCTTCTTCTTTGCTAAAGTGTGTTATACTCCTGCGATTATTTTCTGAAACAAGCAGGATTATTACAACTAATAAGTTGATGATACACTAAAGTGTTTATACCTGCGATTATTTTCTGAAACAAGCAGGATTATTAAAGAAAATAAATTTTCGACAATCTCATTTAAAGAAACTTTCTGGTCAAGGCGAGCTATTTGCGCATTGGTTGATGTTGCAAGGATTTTAATAACTCCGTTTTAAGTCAGCATTCTGTAAATTCTATCATCGTTGTTTAATGTTCTTATTATACCCCCAGCTTGAAACGACTACATGTATGACCACTTAGTAGTCATAACTAAATTTACTAAATTAAAACGACAATGACCACCCAGTCCTCTTTAGAAGAACTTTAGTTTCAGGGAAATAGATTCAGGATTATCCGATAAGAAAGATTTCTATTTCAAATGGTATTTTTCCTGATATTCCTTTTGAGTCCAGTCACTTCGATATGTCATGCCTCACTAAATAGGAACTTACCTGTCATTTTTATTTACATACAAAGATGTTAAAAACAATTTATCAAGGTGAGATTAATTTACATTTGGAAAAACCAAGATAAGTAGTAGTTAACTGCGCATAATTCCAAAATAAATGTTAATTATTTATATGTATGTAGTCATGATACTTCTTTCAGCAATACAGGTATAGAATCAACCAGCATTTGAATAAGGTTTAAAGAAAAGTGATTTACACGTCGACAGAAAGAAAACAGTTTATATTTTTAGACTAGAGAATTGTACATGTACTTAATCAGAATTGACCGGTATGTTGGATACTCGGGTTCCTGTCTATGCTATACCAGTTGCCTTGTTTTCCTGGATAGTTGCCCTTTTAACACCGGGATGGATAATTTACCAAAAACTGAACGGTATTTAAGATATATTTAATTTACTTGCAAATAATTCAAAATACTTTTTTATGTATTGTAAACATTAAAAAAAAAATTTTAATCGTAAATTTAAATCACATTAAGATTAGAATTAGAAGCTATTGGTTACAAATGCATAAAATGAATCTATCACAACACTCCGTCAATCTTGGCACGTCAAACATTGCAATTTTTCATTTGTATTGCGATTGTAAGCATGTTTTTGTTGTCCAGGCTGTTTCTCGGAGATGGCTGGGACAATATTCCTGAAACTTTCCTCAAAGGAGGGATGCAGTGGTTGTAGTTATCGTTGGTTGAAGTTGTGCCATGTGGTCATTCAGTTTCAAAATGGCTACCGTTGCCATGAAAACCTGCAAAAAGCGTTGAATTTTGTCCGTGAGTGTTCTCTCTTAAACATTCGTGATAAAACTTTTTTATTTTATTGATTAGTAGAACTTTGTAGTTGCGTTATTCGCATTTAAAATTTTGAAATAATCGATTATTGTCATGGAAAGCAGAGGAAAGTTAAACTTCTTAAATTTTGATTTTTAAATCAAAAAACTGAAAGTACTGATAGGAGTTGATGGTTGTATTTGCGTATATTAAGATATATTAAAATTAAGATTAAGGTAAAAGAGGAGCGCTGGCAGATTGTAAATGAATAATATGTCCTTTGAAATGTTGTCAACGAAAATAAATAATTTGATCTTGACTGGTGGTACCTTAGCACTCTTCTCCCCCTCAAGAAATGGAATGTTTGGGTTCGGGGAGATTTTCTTTTTCTTCTTGTCTCTGGTCATCTTAGACATAAATATTCTTTCCTGCAAGAGCACGGAAATAAATAATCTAAATCGACCAGATTTGCCAGCCCCCCCCCCTCGAAGTACCTTAGCATAAAAGCAAATACGTTTGAGGAGCCAGTTCACCCGAAAAATGTCTCGCTTGTTTGACCACTATACTATAGAAAGACTTAAACTTGATCAATGAAATCCTTTGTAAGGGAAAATATATATATATATATATATAGAAAAAGTCCCTTAGATACAATACAAATGAAAAAAATTGTTGAATACAAATACGAAATTAATCGATAGAATAATTAATTAATCAATAGAGATAGGAAATAATCATTAAATAAACAAATCAAATGGAAAATTATTCAAAACAAATAATTTGGCGACTCTGGGGGTGTCTTGAAAAGGCTGACATAAGTCGGCCAATAACTCTTTGAGCAATAAGCCCGGCTAACTAGAGAGTCTGCAATTGCAAGCAATAGCGTATGTCGCCACGAACTGTTCCCCTATTTCCATGGCAACTATTGATAATTTCGGACAAGACTTTCATTTATTGTTTCACTAAAACAATACCCAGTAGCTAAGCTTGGACAACCATCCATTCGCATCAGTACTTTCAGTACTTTGATTTAAAATTCAAAGTTAAATATTTTCACTTTCGCCTGGTTTCCACGGCAATAATCGATTATTTCAAAATTTTAAATGCGAATCGCACAACTACAATTACTATTCCCTAAAATAAAAAAAAAAGTTTTATGACGAATGTTCAAGGGACCAGAGAGAACACTCGTGGACAAAATTCCTCCCTTTGTGCAGGTTTCCATGGCAACAATAGCCATTTGAAACTGAATTACCACACAACACAACAACAAGCAGTGGTCGTCGTTTGAGGAAAGTTTAAGGAATATTGTCCCAGCCATCTCCGAGAAACAGCCTGGACAACAAATTCATGCGTACAATCGCAATATGTCTCCCGACTTCGTTCGGGGCGACATAAAAAAAGTATACCATACAAATGGAAAATGATACAATATAGATATTGCAACGTTTGACATGCCAAATACTGTATGATGACTGTATATCATGTATTATAATGAAGATAATAAAATCGGAATTAATAATGACATACTTCATTTGAGTCTATTTTATGGATCAACAGAAAATAACTATCAAAGTATCTTTTATACTGTATCCTGTTCACGGGAAACCGCCTGCCTGTCAACCTTTTCCTTTAGTTTGCGTAAGTATCTCTCTCTCTCTCAGGGTGTGTGTGTGTGGGGGGATATGTTTGCGTGCAGGTACTCGGGGGGAGATTAATGATACGAGTGCAATCTTTCCTCATTTTGGCAATGTTTACTGTTTCTTCAACATGAAAACGGAACTTACATTTTTAATAGAAAGTGAAGCTATTGAGTTTTTATTGAAATTTTTTTTTCTAGCCCTCCTTGATATTCATTTTGCCAGCATACTCTCTCTTCTTCTGTGCGGGGTCGGCTGTCGGATTCTTTGGGCTTCCGTCAAAAAATGGCGTTCAAACCCCAAAAAGGCTGTCATAGGGGGAGTGTTAGTTCTAATTGCAGGTCAGAATACTGTGCTAAAATGTCTTCGTCAAATAGTTGACATTAACGAGTTTTTTTCAGCTAAAGAAGAACGAAATATAATTCATTCTATGAGTAAGTGTACAATACTGTATATATTTACAAATATATCATTGTACAGCTACTTTCGAACACGTCCTTTTGAGTCGATTTTATGGCTACTACTTCCTAGATGGAACGGAATGTTCTAATGGCGTTGCCTATTCTGTAATCATTGCTGGACTTGGCTTCTTGTTGGTTCTGTTCTCTGTTGTGATGATTCTTGTGCGTTTCGTTGCACCACAAACACAGGCTGATAATGATCAGTTAATATCAGGTAAAACAATGACAAAAGGTAATATACTCAACAAAAAAAAGTTAAGGGTTTAGTATAATATAGTTAATTTGAGGAAATTTCAATTCTGGAATTTATTATAAATTGATGTGAATGTTTATCCATAACTACACGTGTTGTTTGCTACACTTCACTACTTTATCAGTCCACGTTTTCGAGTTTTCGAAGCCAAACAAAAAGTATCAACCCTAGTCAGCATTGCAGAGTAGAACTGGTAAGCATGGCTTTATGAAATACTGTCAACATTTCATGCTGACGATAAATAAGGACAATTAAACATCTTTGAAACACAAATGAATTAAAGGTTATGCCCCAAAAAAGACGTTTGACTGTACAGGAAGCCGGTAGGGCCAAGTGGATGCTACAAACTGGAATATCACAGGCTTCAGTGGGAAGACTGATGAACCGGTCACAAAGCGTCATTGGTCGGTTGTGGCAGAGATATCAGGTTACAGGATCAGTCCAGGAAAGGCCTCGGAGTGGAAGACCACGATATACGACGGCCCGACAGGACCGCCAACTTGTGCTGCAGGCAAAGCGAAACCGATTTAACTCGGCTGTTGCTTTAAAAAGGGAATAACATGGAATAAACATCTGTACAAAAACACGCAGGAATAGGCTTCATGAAGTTAACCTAAAAGCAATACGAAATGCCACACGCCCAGTTTTCACTGCAGATCACAGAGTAAGGAGGCTGGAGTTTGCAAGAGACCATGCAAATTGGCAAATCCGCCACTTGAGATCGGTAATTTTTACAGATGAATCTAAATTTTGTGTAGATTTTAATGAAGGAAGGAAGGCGACGGGTGTGGAGACTGAAGAATGCTGTTGTGACTCAACATGCGACTGCTGTGTGGCTCAACGTGATCGCTTTGGTGATGGTTCTGTTATGGTGTGGGGAGGCATTTCTATTCAGGGGTCCACATCATCAGAAATGGTTATTGACCGGTGTCAGATACAGAGATGAGATCATTCAGCCAATTGTGAGAACATTTGCTGGGGCAATAGGAAGGCAATTCATTTTGATGGATGATAACGCCAGGCTACACAGAGCAAACATCGTAAACCAGTGCCTTGAGGCAGAGACTATCGAGAGAATGTAGTGGCCTTCGAAGTTACCAGACCTCAGTCCTATTGAATATGCCTGGGATGTTCTTCAGAGGCAAATTCAGCAGCGGTACCCTGCCCCATGCAACACCAATGAACTTGAAGTTGCTCTGTTAGAGGAATGGGATCGGATACCTCAAAGGACCATCCGTTCACTAATTCGAAGTTTGCCCAGGCGATGCAGGGCTGTTATTCAGGCAAGGGTAGGCCACACCAAGTATTGAGAGTTGTCAGGATAATTGTCAGTCTTTAATTAAACAAATTATGCAATTACTGTATTATGAAAATTCACATTAAAAATAAGGGTATCCATCTTGTTAATCTTGTTCTTCTGTCCAAGTGAACATTTACCACTACTTTTTTGTCAAATGTGTTGTAACTTTACAGAGGTAATTATGTATTTTGATTAAATATACTTTTTCGATGTAGAAATTATAAATGCAGGTTTTCATAATCCTTAACTTTCTTTGTTGAGTATATATACTGAAGACCTTTTACACTTAGCGATGTATTTTCTATATCACCTTTTGTAGAAAAGAACTAAAAGCCACTAAATCAAGAAAATATCAAGAGTATATTTATTTCCAAGACAAAAAGCCAAAAAAATATCCCCCAAAATATAAATACACTGTAAACAAATTCAAAAGTAGCAATTATTTGACCAAAAGCTGAGTTGTATGCGGGTTTTTTTTTTCAGAGGAAACTAGGATGGTTAAAACCAGAGTTCTTCCTGTTGCTTTACTGCTTGGTTTGTTGTTCAAGATCGTTGCATTTGCAACACCGGGTTGGATAATGTACGAGGTAATGGTCATAAATATATAATGATAAATGGCACTAATGAAAAATGCATTTCCTACCAATTAAATACGAAAAATAATTGTATTTGTTATTACAGGAAACACATAGTACAACTTGGATTGGAATATTCTACTCAAGGACTTATGAAGGAGACAATAGTCGGACGACATCTTTTCTTGACAGATCACGTGATGGTTCTCCCCTTCTCTTTCGTTCGTTATATACAAAAAATATAATATATTTGAAATATTTTTATACAAAATACTTTAAAGTTGTTATTATAAATGTACATGTATATAATTAAATTAAATATTATATTTTCAGAATTTGGTATTATCGGTCTTCAGATTAACTGTGTCATTAATGTTGTGTTATCCGGGGCCGGCATTCTGGTCTTCATTTTGAACAGCAGGAGAGTATCTAAGCACGTAATGGTTAAGCCTGTAGCATATATATCAAGTGGAATCTTTCTGTGTGTAGGAGGTTTGCATTTTTTTCTTGATTCAATTGTATTTCAAAATTTTAAAATCAAAGGAATTTTGGATTGTTATATCAAATAACAATATTTAAAATGTTTATTTCTTTAATGGATATACCCGTGAAACACAACATATTTAAAATTTACATGAGACGAACGAATACCGTACGGCCCTTCTATTCGCCTTTCAGAAATATCGATGAAGTTTCAATCAATAAACAATAGAAATTTTTATTCATATATCGACTGTACATGATCGGGAGGCGAGGATTCAATTTTGGTTTGGTGCGCATCGTCAGAACTAAAGCGTGAACATTTGAAACAAATGTTCCTTCACCAAGCGCTCGGCACCAGAACGGCCAAAAGTTAACTTAAAGTGTCTTTGGATCCTTCAAATGAGACATTAAAACTTAAACCATATGTCTTGGGTGACCATAGCATGATGAATAACCCTCACTGCTCAATGGTTGGGAGTGCTAAGTATTGTTCTGCGATCGAAGTACTTTTATCTGTAGAGGTACTCCAGCATGCTAGAGGTTCACGGCGAGATACTTTTGACTTGGCGCCGCGTAACCTCTAGCATCCATTGTAAAAATTCTCGCCGCTGAAACCCCAAGTGGAAAAAAAAATATTTAATTGAAAAATAAGGCTTTGTATATTAACGAATGGCACGAAACAATAAAATACTCACTTTTTACGATAAAACTTACGCATAAAACATCGTTAATCTCTCGTATTAGCAATAAATCCATTATTTTTAAAAATCGATGCAGAAATTGAAACAAGTCGTCTTTTTAAAATTCGGGAATGGAGTCTAGAAAATCTGACAAACGAAACTAGTTTAACGCAACGAAAATTTCGTTTTCTGACTAGCAATACTCAAAATTAATGTCAAGTCAAATCGAAAGTACTTCTGGTGACAAATTGGAATAATGACAATTTTCATTAATGAACAATAACGCACACTGAATAAAATGTATTTTATTATTTCTTGTGACTTTCATACCTCATGCAAACACGTAGATACCTGAAAATTACTTGTTAACAGTTTATTTCACACATAATATGTTCCGCCCAAAATCTCGGGCGGAACGAGCTCGTTCGAAAATGGCCTTCGGATGTAAGAGTCCGAGGTATATAAGGAGCATGGGGACGTTAACCGAGGCTCTTACTTGTAGTATCTGTAGAGGTTGACGTCTCTTTCCGAGTAAAAATCCCTATAAAACAAAATACAATTAAACATTTGTAGACTCGATATATCCCAGTGAATTTCAAATAAAAGACACAGTATATCGAGTCTGCCAAATTTGTTTCAAACACATTTTGAAGTCGATCTTACTTACAAGAGGCGATAGGACCAATTAATTAAGAACTAAATGATATGGCATAGGAGATGACTTGTATATGTAAAAAAAATATCCCTATCACTTGTATATGGTGTTAATCATTATTAATCCTATGATTTATAGAAGCGCCACCGAAAATTATGTTCTAAGTACGACCATTTTTTAAAAAACTGATGTAGCTACTCACAAATTTGTTGAGGAAACAAGGATTTTACAGTCTCGTTTAAATTGGGCATTACTTAAAATCCATGGTCGTTATAATGACCATGTAAGCAAATACTTGTATGACGTTGTATTTTGGCTCTTTCTTTCCAATTGTTAATCTTATTGCGTGTGTGGCCGGCGTGTCCGGTCTACAGGGGATATTCTCTCCTCCAATACATTCTTATCCTACCTTCGAATTTTCGGGGTTCCGTTTTAATTTCCTGCATGTTTACCTATTTGTTTTGCAATTGTATATAGATTTATGAAATTTTTGAAATCTGTTCGTTATCTTTTACAATTCAAACATGACCTTATTTTAATTATCAATTTACAGTTACTTTGGAGTTTGCCCTGCTTCTTCGTTTTATTGGAATGTGTATACTGATATTTCTACAGTCTATATGGTTTCCATACTCTTTTGTCCTTGCCTGCGTGTCTTTCGCTTTGCACCTTTATTCCGTTGTGGTGATACTTATTCGCTATAAAAGAGGCAACGAGGAAGGAAATAATGACAACCAGATGACGGAAAATCCAAGTTGTATGGGAATTCACCAAGATGTGATTACAGACAATGCAAATGTAATAGCAGACAACAGACCGGAAGTGATGACAGATAATGATGATCTGACGAAGTGGTAACTACGGAAGCGTACTGCTGCCAATTGAAAAAAAAATCAAAGACGTACCTACGACTTATTATCTAGTTTTCATTTACTAGATCTTGACTTGTGGACAAATCAACGACTATATTTCATCTTATGAAATTATACAACTTATTGTGATAATTTGTGAATAGTTACTGTATGCGATTATCTAGAGGGAATGGAAAAAATCCCTTTAAAAAATCAGGTTTCAGTTTTCAACTAAAGAGTATAATATCTTGATAAATGTGTCTGATTCAAAGATGCATTGAAGATTGTGTGTAAATTTTGCGATGTCTATCATGAAATGATGTGCATTCCTTTTCATAATTATATGCTTATTATACAAGTCTACCGAATATTTTTAATGGTTGGTGTTTGGTTACTATATCTCTATCAAATATGATCTTTTAAAATAGAAAAACATACAATTTTTGATAAATATTCACATTGTTTATCTAAGAGATACCCCAAACAGTCAATTAATAATTAAACCCTGTGTAAGTCCATAAAGGTCAAGTAAAGCAGCATTGGTAAATAACCTATTTCTCGTTAGTTTGCGGGGAAAGTGAATACTTAAATCACTTTTTGTAATCATTTGGGTATGTTCTTCATCATACATGTATTTAAATTTGAATACATAGATAAAATAATACAATTCATTTGCCTATATTTTTTTAATGTGGACTTATCAAAGTATCTCGTTCTCACGACATAGTATCTCGTAAGTACGACTTCATATGTCGTACGTACGACAAACTATCTCGTTTGCACCACTCAGTATGGTAGTTAAACGCTTCCGTAGGTAATAGATGTCC